CAATCAGATTCATCGCGCAATAGGAAGGTCCTATTGATCAACGTTCCTGATTGGTGAGTGGGAGACATCGAAGGATCGACTGGGCGTCGCGCGCTGAGTTGGAGGGTGAGGAGAAAAAAAGCGCGAGAAGTAGCGCAAGACGGGTCCAAGATTCAGACGAGCAAGAAAGGGAAATGAGCGCGCAAAAAGCAGAGCGGGAGAGAGAGAGAGAAGGAGATAAAAACAGTTACAGGAGAGAGAAAGAGGAGGGGGAAGGAAAAAGGAGCGCGGGAGAGAGCGAGGCGGGGGACAGAGAGGAGAAAGCTTTCATGCTCGGCGCCGTCAACAAAAAAGGAGAAAAGGCACCGAAATAGTTACAACTTGCCTACGTCCTAAACCAATTCAAAATTGAAATCACCGTATCCGCGCGTAAAAGAGCGACGCGGGAAAAGAAAGTCCTACGCCCATTCGTGTTCCCACAAAATTCTGAGAGTTTTTCCTAACGTGACCAATAACATTCACATACGAAAAGGATACGTCGAGATTCCGCTTATCCCGAAATTCTCAACTGCTGGGCCCAATTCCCAGCGCGCTCGCTAAGGCGCACTCAAATTTCCAGGCATTTCCCGAATAATTATTGCAGAAAAAAAAAAAAAAAAAAAACCCGAGGATCGCAAAAAGCTTTCGAAAGATACAGGCCCAAAGCTCGGCACCCGAAATCAAGAAAACGAAACGGGGTTTTTATGGGGTTGGTATGATACAAGCAAAAAGGGGTACGAAATATAGCACGGGTTCGGGAAGTAGTTCGTCACATATGTGACGCGCAGGGGGTTCCAAAATTATGCGATCTCCTGATTGCATGTCATGGAGGAGAAGGATAGAAGGGGAAGAGTGATGCATGAGGAACCAAGCGTATCAACAGATCATCAGAAAGAAGCACAAGGAATGATAACTGAGCCGCGAAGGAGATGGCAACAACATCCGTGGCAAGATCACCGCAGCCCTGTCATGTGCAACCCCTTGTCCTTCACACTGTAGAGATCGTCCAGGTGACGCCATCATGGTCCCCCTGATCTCCGTGTGCTCTGCACCCCAGTTCTTCGCTGCCTATCGAATCAGAGCGTAAGTTGACGTCATTGTCGATGGCGTGATCTTCGCGAAGCTTACTGATTCGTGTCGGGTTCCCGTGCTGATTCGATGAAGAAAGAAGGAGGGGGGATAGACACGTGAGTAGGATCTACCGCTGGGCTGGAATGGGCCAGTAGAGGCGGTACATGGGGGTGATCTCACGGGGACGACGGGGAGGAAGTGGGGGTAGGTAGCGATGTATCCCCTCTATAGGGAGTTCCTCATAGCGAATGATCCGGTGAAAGCGGGGGAAGTGATCGCCGCTACGGGGGAGGGAAGCGAGGTAGTCGCGATAGAAGGAGGAGAGGGTACGAAAGAGCGCCGCTCGAAAGAACTCGTAGTGGCGACAGGCGGGGATTGTCCCCGTGGCTACGTAGTAGACTTCCACCAAGTTGCATCACTCCCATGCGGCGCTGATCAGGAGGATATGCCAACAGAACGTGGGGGCAGCGGGCTGAAGGGATGCGTGGGGGTAAACGGTAGCGAGTAGGCGGGTAGAGTAAAAGTCGCAGAAGAGATGGGGAAGGAAGGGATGGAGGGGGAAGGTGGCGGGGGTGCGGATCTGCTCGAGGGTGAGAAAATCAAGGGGATGGCGGGACAAGGTCCGAGGACGAAGGCCTATCGTCCGCATCGGTACGTGGGCGAACTGGGGGACGGGCGGGGCTGGAGGAGGAGGGGGTTCGACTCCGTCTCCGTCGCGCGGTGCTTGAGGTGGCGGCTGCGAGGTCGCCATCTTCGGGCTTCGGCGGCTCCGAATTCCTGGTCGGATCGTTACCGATGTGCAAGCTGGCTCCGCTGGCGAACTCCAGCTGGCGTTTCCCAGTGGCAATTTCTTCGCTCCTTCACGCTGCTTCCGGATCTTCCGCTTCCGTGCCCGTGCGCGCCGCTTCCTCTGGCAAAGCTTCCCACTCAGACTCGGTTTCTTCTTCTCCCTCTCCTTCTTCACTCAGCTCACCCTCACTATATTCGCTATAGCTTCCCTCCTCCGATGTTTCCTCGTCGTCGTCTTCTTCTTCGTCGTCGATCACCACTACCTCCTCCTTCGGATAGAAGGCCTGAGGAATGATGTCGTAGGGCTTCAGATACTCCTGCCCCGATGGTAGCGTATCCTCGTCCCTGGGTTACTCCAAGCACGCGGTCCACTGAAGGTACGGGTCCAATGACCGCTCGAGGACGTGCGGAGCAGGGATGTCGTCACTTTGGGAATAGATGTCGGGCGAGAGATCGTCCGCTAATTGCACGATTGGCGCGATGAGCTCCTGCGCAATCAACTGGCGGCGACCCGGTTGTACCGATCCAAAGAGAAAGCCAAGAAGATCGCCCTCCACATTAGTCCTCCAAGCCTGTTTGATCAGCAGCTCCAAATTCTCGATCCACGCAGGATGCTCGCTGGTTCGTGTCCACGTTACCTGTACTCGGGCCAAGCAGAAGGACAACTCGTCGAAAGTTTCGCGCCACAGCCGCCAATGCCCAGGATTGATAAGCGGGACTGAAAGAGGCTCGAACGAGAAGGAAAGAGAAGGATGAAGATCGGATTGCCAGAAGGTGGGGAAAAGAGGGGGGAGACCGAAGATAGAGAGAGGAGCGAGAGGATCGGCGTGGTTCATTGGGGACGGGGGAAGGGGACGAGGGTGGGGATCGCAACTGGCCGCTCACGCGGAGAACGACGGATGTCGCCAAGATCCGGTGTAAAGGTCGGGATGAGATTGTGCCCAGGTCGGGCGGGAACGTGCTGCCACACGTTGGACACCTGCTCCGTCCACTTGTGCAGCGAAGTCAAGATCGCGGTATGCCACTGCGGATTGACCGAGCTGATGTCGCCGCTGAATGCCGCAACCGTGGTGACGTGGCTCGTTCAGGGAGCCACTCGCCGATGAACTGCGATTACCTCCACAAATACTACTGCGTGAGGACTCCTTTCAATTTGAAACGCGGCGGCGGCACACAGACCCATGTCGTAGAAGAATTGCGCCAAACGCCGAAGATCCGTATTGAGCCGAGGGTGACAAACTTGCCGAATCTCTAAGATGTGGCCACGTGGCTGCAACAACTGTTCATCAAGAGCCCGCTCCGTGATGAAACTCATGGCGAGGTTGGAGAGGAGGACGAAGGACAGGAGGGAGAGAGCGGAGAGAGAGTTAGATCGTCGTCATTCTCCTCGCTTTCCGAGGAAGAAGAGGGAGGGAGATCAGAAGGAGGAAGAAGACGGAGGTAGGAGGTATGTCGGACGATGGGGACAGAGCTATGGCTGGCACTGGCCTCAGGTGCGATGCGCACCGTGTTGGCGTCGTTGGATCCGAGCTCAACAACGCGAAAACAGCCAGAAAACTTGGGAGCGAGTTTCCGGTCGCGTGCACATTTACGTACCTGTACCAGGTCCCCTAATTTATATTGGTGCTGGGGCCCAGCATTTCCATTCCAAGCCTCGTAGCTACGGACCTGTCTACCGTGGGCCAGTTCGGTCATCCTTTGCCTTTTTCAGGCTAGCTTCGGGACGACCCTTTCCATTAATTCGGTGTACCTATTGGCCTTGGCCTTGAGGGCTGCATGCGTGTCTCTACCCCCTGCTTCGGCAATTTTCGAGTTACCCCGGTAGTCGACACAGGGGAGGCTGTTAGTACGAAGCTGAAAAGGGGTAAACCATGTGGATTCGTGAGGAGTGGCCCGGTGGATCCCGACGATCTGATATACGATCCCGGGCCACGGACGCGTGTCGTGTGCTGCTAAGTTTCTGCGGAGGGCGGTTTAAATCATACGGTTGGCATTTTCGGCCAACCCGTTCGACTGAGACACGTGGGGTGCCGTATGTCGGAGCGTGACGCCCCTTCGCGCAAGCAGTTCTTCTACCTCACCCTTGAATTCAGACCCATTGTCGGTTAGAATTTCTTCCGTATCTAGATGGGTATAGAGGAACCGTTCGATGTACGTGGCTATTTCTGCGGCCTTTCGGGTCTTACAGGGATAGACTTCGATGTACTTGGAAAAATGGTCTATTAATACCAACAGGATAGAATATTCGCAGCAGTTTGGGCCAGGTGGCACGTCGATATATGTCGTGTCCATGCTGACACGCTGGAAAGGATGCTCTACTTCCGTTGGTACTATCGTGTTTGGTCCCCGTATTGGGGCGCGATCATCGGCACAGACCAGACAGTTGGCGACAATGTATTTGACATCATCTCGTATATTGGACCAGAACCATCGGTTCTGCTCTACAGTTGCCTCCGTGACACGTATCGCGAAATGAGTGGCCTGTTCTTCGTGAGCAGATCGGATCCAATCATATCTCTGGAATGGATGGGAAACCGTCAACCACGAACCCGATCTGTCAATTGTACGTTTTTCCAAATGTCCGTTGATCTATCGATGGTCTCGAGATATCTCGGTTGCCCTACGTCTGTCGTGTTTGGTGAGGTGCCCCAATGATAATCCCGCTAATTTCGATAATAAAATTTTATCCGTCCAAACCTCCGCTCGTCGGTATTTTTCGTCGTATTCAGGCTCGTCCGTACGGGCAGCCTCGAATCGAACCTCCGTGGGGAGTTTATTCGTTCTACACAGGGGGCACCTCCATTCCTTGCTACTCGTCCGATATCGAATACAGGCCCCGTGCACACGATTGACACACGTGGCACATTCTACCCAAATTGAATCGACAAACCCAGTTTCGAAAGGATGACAGTCGACCCCATAAACCCGGGCAATACATGTGCAAAAATAGCAAAATTTATCGGGGAGGGTGGCAAAGAAAGCTGAGGAAGTGAGAGGGGCAGAATTAGTAGGAGGAGAAGGCGTCGCGGAGGCAGGCGGGTTAGTCATGATGACAAAGGAGGAGAGATGAGATTGAATTGCAGAGAGGGTAGAACAGACAAATTAGTCCTTGGGTCACTTACTGCTTTGATAAGATCTCCACTTGGCCGTACCGAGGTCCAATCTCCTGTTCGGGTTCGTTCCACGGAATCACCTCCTCACTCTTCGGAACTTTCTCAGGACGGTGCAGTCGTGTCAGTCCGTCCGCATTCCCGTGTCTCTCGTGCTTTCGATGACGAATGTCAAAGTCCATGCTCTGCAGTACCGTCGCCCATCGCCCGATCATGCCCGAGTAAGCCTTCGATTTCTTCAGAGCCAACAGGGGCTCATGATCGGTTACCAAGGTGAACTTTCGCCCGTACAGGTAAGCGCGAAAGTGACTGATTCCCCAGAGGGCCGCGTAGCATTCTCCCGTTGGAGCGGCGTAGTTGTGCTTTCAGGCGGGAACCGATTTGGACGCATACTCCACTACACTCTCGAGTCCACTTGGTCCCACCTGGGCAAGGATCGCTGAAATTGCCTCTGGCTGCCAGTCAGTGATGAGAACAAAAGGCTTTTCGGGATCCGGCCTTATAAGGACCGGAGCCGAAATGAGAGCGGCCTTGAGTTTCGAAAACGCTTGATCACACTCCGGCGTCCAGATCAACGACTGATCTTTGCGCAGCAGATTTGTGAGGGGTCCCGCAATCGCCGCAAAGCCCTTGATAAATCGTCGGTAGTACGAGGCCAGGCCCAAAACGGCGCGAACTTGCGTGATAGTCATAGGCACCGACACATCTCTGACAACTGTCACCTTCTGCGGCTCTGGTTGGAGCCCTTGGTCTGTCACCACGTGCCCTAAGAAGGAAATGGTGGTGAGGAAAAACTGACACTTCTCAAGCGCCACCTTGAAGCCCGCATCTCGCAACGCATGCAGAGCCCATTCGATGTGCTGCACGTATCCCTCGTAGGAACTTGAGTACACAAGAATGTCATCCATGTACACAATCACGCAGTAATTGATGATGCTCTGCGTCTAACGAGTCTTCCGCACGAAATTCTGGAAAGCCATATTCATGGCTCGCTGAAAGGTTGCGGGGCGTTGCAGATATCCATTGGACATTGAATCCACTGCCACGTACCCTCGAAAAGCACAAACACCGTTTTCAGATGATCTTCTTCTCGGACAAGAAGGTGATGGAACCCATGGCGAACATCAAACTTACTGAAAAATCGAGAACTCCCAATCGCATCCAACAACTCATCAATCCGAGAGAGGGGGTACACATATTTGATCGTGATATCATTCAATTTCCGGTAATCAATGCAAATGCGAATCCCTCCGGCTTTTTTAGGCACGATTACTACAAGAAAAGATCATGGACCTATAGCGGGTTCGATCCATCCATTAGCTTCGAACTCCTTAATCCGCTGAAAAGCGGCTGCTCTTTGAGCTGGCGAGTATCGGTAAGGAGCGCAGCTAATGGGCGGACGATCTCCCGTGAGAATGACATGCTCGATTACGTTAGTCAAGCCGATATCATTATCATGCACGCTCAGCACCTCCGCATAACCGTTCAAAACATTGATTAACGACTTTCGAAGTTTCGTGGGGACGTGGTTTGGAAGAGTGATCGTCGATTTCCCAATAGTCTTAAGGGGTATGTCGATCCAATCAACCGGCCGCTCCCGTTGATCGTATACAATCGAAAAGACAAAAGTACTAGTGCGAACAGAGAAGACAATCGCAATCATCTGTGATTTGGTGGGGCTGATCATTTCGGTTTCTTTGGTTTCGGCGTCAGTTTCTGAGTCGGCCGAAGTCTGTTCCACAGTCAGCCCTGTTAGATCCGTTATCTCCTGCATTAGGTCAGGCACGTCATTTACCGGCGCTTCCGCTTCCTGTTTAATCAAAGCGATGGTTGCCCCGGTCGTTAGTAACGACCTGGGCGGGAAGATAGAAACGTCCAGATACTGTTCCGTTTGTTGATTACGCGTTCGCAAGGAAAGTGCTCCCTCATACAAAGTACGAGGGGGTTCCAAATGATCAGCTAGGTCGGATACTTGCAAGATGGGTTCCCCGAGGAGGACTGAAGGACTGACCTGGGTTTTCGTAGGCGCAAGCGCGCTGTCTCCTGAATCCACGTGGAAGCTTCGGGCAGTATCGGGGCGTACTCGAAACTCTTTAGGAATTTCGTGTTCGAAGAGCTCGACCAGGTGCTTCCATTCTTCCTTACTAGGCAGTTCTTCCTCATATTTTTGTTCCTTGATTCCACTACCTATGCCCGAGGAGGAATACTCCTCGGGATCAATGTGTGGAATCATCCTTATTCGGGCCGAGTCAGAAGTTCGCTTTACTGCTCGGGTGGAAATTCGCAAGGGAACGGTTTGAGGCTTTCCCCTAGTTTGCGTGAGCACCAGCTGCTTTGAATCGAAATGCAGACGGGCCCCTACCACCATCGCCCAAGGTAGTCCCAACAACATAGAATAGGAGCGCACATCTATTACTAGTGCGTTAACAAGGACATGTACGCGTCCGACCTTTATAGCCACATTCTCAATAATGCCCACGATGTTCATTGCTTCCTCGTCGGTAGAGACATAATGGTCCTTGCCAGATTGAGGGAGAATGGATCCGAGTCGTCCCGTCTTCCGGACGGTTTCTAATGATATGGCTACTGCGGACGACCCTGTATCAATGCTGTCTCTTATACACATCTAGATGTGTATAAGAGACAGTCTATTACTAGTGCGTTAACAAGGACATGTACGCGTCCGACCTTTATAGCCACATTCTCAATAATGCCCACGATGTTCATTGCTTCCTCGTCGGTAGAGACATAATGGTCCTTGCCAGATTGAGGGAGAATGGATCCGAGTCGTCCCGTCTTCCGGACGGTTTCTAATGATATGGCTACTGCGGACGACCCTGTATCAATGAGGGCGTTAAACGGTTTGCCCTAAACTTCACAATCACATTCCGCGGTTTTCCATAACACAGGTCGGGCTCGCACGAAGTGATCCTTCTCGGCTAAAGAGATCGCTGTTATACGTGTGGTTTCGGGTTCAGGTTCCCCTGTGTCAGGCTCGGGGGGTGCAACTTCCTCGCCTCCTTCCTTCTTTTTCAACATTCGCTGTATGCGTTGATAACTGAAGCGCTTTTGATTTTTCTGACAATGTTGCAAAAGTTTATCATTTATCACTTCAGATATGGTGAGTAGATGCCCCACCGGGATCGGAACACGGATATCCAATTGCTTGAGCGCTCGTAACACATCGATTTCTCCTGTCCGAAATTGTGGACCAGGATTGGATTTGCGATCGACCCATTCGAGATCATCAGGGGCCGATCGGATCGCTCCGATCATGCCTGTGAGATGGAGATACTCAAGTGGATCGACCACGTCAGCAGCGTCAGAGGAAGCAGCTCCCGATGTCGACGCCGTTGCCATCGAGGGGGAAGATTGTTCTGGGGCATAGGCCACAAACTCTCCTCCTTGGGCCGTATCCATCAGGGCGGCCACTCGTCCTTGATTAAGGGCGACAGGGGCCGCGGCAGGTGGAGGCTGATTACGCTTTGGCTGCGGTCAGTCTCAAGCGAAATGTCCGGGTTGTGTGCAGTTAAAACACTCGATCTTTCCCACTGGATTAGCTAGGTGAGGGAACTGAGGTGCGTACCCTGGAGCAGGCGGGGCAGGTAAGAGAGGAAATGACGCAGGGGCTAGCTGAGCAGGGGCCGGGTTAGGCTTGATTAGCCTGCTCATTATCTGTTCCATCCGCTCCATGTGAGCAGCTTGCATTTGAATCAAGTTGCTCATCCATTCGGAATGCTTGGTAGTGGCCGTATGGATCATTTGGGCGAGATGTAAGTTGGTTACGGTCGGCGAGGGGGGTTTATGGGAGACTCTGCTCTTAACTGCTGCTATCAGTTAATTCACCGAGGGAGAGGGAGAAGAGACAGGCGGGATATCGGAAGCAACCCCATCGGGAAGGTCATGGTCGAGGCGGGGATAAAACCGTTCTACCGCCTGCAACCATGATCGCATTTTTGCCGCCACAGCCCGTATGGTGTCTGTAACATCTTCGTCTCCCTGGCTGATATATTTTTTTGTATCAGCCAGGTCCAGTTCCAATGCTTTAGCGATGATAGCAAATAGCTGGTGTGTCTTCGGCGGGACCTTTTTCTGCAGTTTCCCTTTCAACATCGGACTTCGTAGGTGATCGATGAACAGATCTCGAGCGGATTTCTCGTCTCGCCCAGATTTGTCCAACGTGGTTTGAAATCGATCCACGAAATCGGGCAACAATTTCCCTGGTTCTTGTGGCCGAGTTTTGAGCACGTACCAGGCGGCATCTTCACTGACCGTATCAAATCGAGCCAAGAAGGCTTGTTTAAACGTATTCCAATCTACCCACATATGTTTTCTAAACCAGTCATGCGACGTATTGCGGAGTAGCAATGTCAGAACACAGGGAAGATCGGTTGCGTTGTAGTTTTGAGCTTCGACGACTTTCAGCCAAGCCTCGGGATGGGTATGGTTAGGAAAGAAGGGGAAGGGGGCAGGGATGCTAACGATCAGTCTAGTACTGTCCACCATTGGTTTTGCAAGTGCAACTGTACCAGACCGAGATCTGGTCACTGGGCGATCCCGACGAGCTCGTTCAGGGCTTCTCCTACCTCTTGCCAGTTCGACTCACTATCATCAGAACCGACACGTGTCGGCTCCGATACCAACCTCACGCCCTTGTGCTGTCTTTCGTTCGGAGTGCTAGATGTGCGGAAAGAGGCCCAGAAAAACAGCAAGATGGGGTGTGCCAAGGATTTTTGGAAATTGAGTGTGGGGACACAGATGGAACTAAAATCCCCCGTGTTGGTCCGATGAAGTGAGTCGTTGGTTTTTCACGCATCGCATATTGCTCACGCGGAAGTTTGGCGCGAGGGGAACGAAAAATATAAATTCAATCCATAAAATATTGTCGGACTTCCCACCTGGCTACGGCCCGTCGTTTAGAGCGGAAGGGCTTTGGCACGCTTCGCGTGTCTCGTTTTCGTATCAAATCCCGACGTCGTTCGCTGGTCAGTTCTGAGTCTGACGTGGATAGTCTCAGTCGCGTAGCTCTTTCCTTATGCTCCTCTTCACTCCGTATTCGGTAGTGGAAGCCCTTTGCTTCGTAGCGATCGAAACGCTGGCACTCCGTGCACAGGGTTCGAGGCCAATGGGGCGCCACTGCCGTCCACGGAATGACGATCGGCTCGTTAAAGGGGAGCAAAATTGAGTAGGGTGGAAAGCGTGCGTCAATAATGACAAACCGGCATCCACAAACCTTGAGCAACGATTCTCGGGAGGGAAGTAATATTGTCCTCCGATTCGTGCGACAGCTTCTCGTACGTCCCACTCGCATACACGTGCCCTTTCCTCGTTATAGGGAAAAGGCCGTGTGGAGACGGGGGATACAGGAGGCTGACGCCCGATCAAAGAGTGCTTGTCAGTCCACATATCAATCAACCGCAAAAATCTCAAGACGTCATCAAGAAAAGAAAACACTCGCGCAACCCCCAATCAATCCTTTTCGACACGAGAGAGAGAGAAAGAAAGAAAGAAAGCACTTATCWGCTTGATCATGCATGYAGCTAAMGGACCGACCCGCGACTCAGGTTTAGTGAGCCAACGCGGCGTTGATCCGAGGCGCCTTGTTTTTTGGGGCYGCCCTGTRCCTCGGTGGCTGATGTCATGCARCATAAGGGAGATGGCATACGCAGTGCATTCAGAGCTACATATCTAAACACTCTTGCATTCTCGAACAAAATCCTGACGTCGACCGTCTAATCAATGCAAAAAGACRTGCATCTYCATACATACATTCACTRTGGAAGGCGCGAAAATGACAGGGGTATACAAGTCAGAAAYCAATCGAGGGAATTGTACACACGCATCCACCGGTCACAAGACAAGAGGATCAATTCCTCGACATATGGGGATTACCCAGGAAACTAATGGAAGAGTTCGGGAAGAAGTTCTTTCACACAAGAAAGCGCACTGATTCATTCTCATCCAAGAGAGAGACAAACACCGAGGCACATCATCTTTCAAAGATAGAGGAGAGAGAGGGAGACGAGGAAGGAATGTCGAGATAGAAAATGACGAGACCCAAAAAAGAGAAAGTTCGGCGTTGCCGCCGCTTACTCACGTCTGAGATAAAGATTCCGCAACAAGTTCGGCGTTGCCGCCTCTTACTCACGTCTGAGATAAAGATTCCGCAACAACAAGGGCGCATTCGCCGTTAATTCCAATATTGCCCCGGGCCAATCACTCACTCAACTCCCATCATCAATCCTCATACCCGCACCGACGATCCCGATCGTCGCGTGCTAACTCCCACCACTGCGATCGTCACCCCGCCGACGTAAACTCGACTCGGCTCGCCCAAATCCCAGTCCGTCGTGGCGATCAAGCGCGCAACCGGCCAGCCTATCGTCAGCCCAACAGGACTTTCCGACTCGCATCAAAACACTCTGCCTAGCCACTGCTTCCCGGAAGTTGGCTTAGGAGTCGAGAACGTAAGAGATATTTGCGGACGCGCTTGCGGATTTTATAGTTGCGAGAAGGGAGATAGAAGGGGGAAAAAGTAGAGGGGAAGTGGAGGTGTAAGAGGAGAAGCAGGAGGAGAAGACTTTAAGAAGAGCGCTCCGTGGAAGCCATGTTGATCCCTCAAAACTCAAAGTTTAACCAATCTGATTCGTCGTGCAATAGGAAGGTCCTATTGATCAAAGCTCCTGATTGGCGAGCGGGCGTTATCGAAGGATCGACTGGGCGTCGTGCGCTGAGTTGGAGGGTGAGGAGAAAAAAGGCGCGAGAAGTAGCGCAAGACGGGTCCAAGATTCAGACTAGCAGGAAAGGGAAATGGGCGCGCAAAAAGCAGAGCGGGAGAGAGAGAGAGAAGGAGAGAAAAACAGTTACAGGAGAGAGAAAGAGGAGGGGGAAGGAAAAAGGAGCGCGGGAGAGAGTGAGGCGGTGGACAGAGAGGAGAAAGCTTTCATGCGCGGCACCGTCAACAAAAAAAGGAGAAAAGGCACCGAAACAGTTACAGCTTGCCTACGTACTAAACCAATTCAAAATTGAAATCACCATATCCGCGCGTAAAAGAGCGACGCGGGAAAAGAAAGTC